AAAATTATAAATAGATAATAAAATAAAAAAATTAATTAAATTAAAGTTTAAATAAAAATATTTACATATTAATGAAAATTTTAAAAAATATGTACCGATAAAAACAAGAAATACAATTTAAAAACAATAAATAAATACAATTATACAAAATTAATAAATAAAGCAAATGTACCTATAATCATTTTACCAAATTACCAAGCCGTGTGACTTTTAGCAACAACCCCAAAGATGAACATTATGCACTATATGTAAATAATATTTGCAAACTTAATCAAAATTTAAATTAAAACCAAAGAAATGTGCACTCCAAAATGCAGACTTAAAATTAACTTCAAAATCCTAAATATTAACTTAATAATCGGCCTAATCGATACCACTAGGAAAGGGCTCACAAAAGCAAACATCTCAAATCACCACTTCTCCTCATGCTTCTTCTAGTCAATCATCTCGCACAAGTTTAGACTCGAAACCCCCATTTGCCCTTCACACACTCAAGAATGGTCAAACTCCCATTGAGCCAAGCAAGCCTAATATAAGCCATTTAGATGTTTGGAAAGGCTTACCCTTTTCAGTGCTCAAAGCTCCATTAGATAAAGAGGAGCAGGGCAGGCTAATTAGAGTCTGACCGTTTGGCCATTCTAGAGTAAAGATTCATTTGCACTGGTCTTACAATCAGCTTCTCTCTCTCTTTCTCTCTCTCCACCTAATAGAAAAATAAGCTACTTCACTCTGCATCGCTGGCAGTGACACCTGCCATGGAGGGGGTAATGGTGTTTAATGGCCTTTTAAATTTTTATTCAGTCTGAGAATCATAAAAGAGGAACCAGGCAGCCACTGGATCTCTTAATAATCCCAATGCTATGGCAACCAAAAGCAAACTTAGCCATCTGACTTTAGGTGGCTCGCCAATCCACACCTGCTCTCAGTTCTCGTGTTGGCAGAAATGCAGTGATATCGAGAAAAAGGCACGTTTCTAAATTTCTGCAAGGTCACCAGTGGTGTTTTGGTGATCCTAATAATAAACGTTTTAATGTTTAAGTGCTGCCCGGGGGTCTTGCGCGTGTTCATTAGGAATCACGGCCTGCTTGGCCGCCACAGCAAGGAATAGCCATTAATAAGGCAATGGGAAAAAGGAAAGGACAGAGAGGGAGGAAAATGGAGAAAGAATGTTTATGTTTTGGAAGGCTGCAACTGTGTGTTTGCACTCCCTGGCGGGAGACACAAATCCAGATCCGATATGAGAGTTGTGGCTTTTACACATCTGAGACCTGCTGTATCACCAGACCATATATTTTATTTATTTACAGAAGTGCTGTGAGAGAGAGAGAGAGGAGAAACTGCTGTATCTGTTAGGAGAACACAAGAACTGCTGTGTGTTTGCTGCTCAATATGTGTCTGCCTGTCACCATAGAAGAGAAAACACTCAACCTGCCCTGATCTGATGTTTCCAGCACGTCTACATTATATTATACCAAATTACTGTATTATATTACTTGGATGTATATTTTGCTTCTGTAAATATGTCTAATCCCTTATTTTATTTTTATTTCTAGTTTATATACTTACATACATTAGTAATTCATTTTGCACTACATGCTTAATACTTTTTATATATTATTATTACTGCTATTATTATTACTATTATTATTATTATTATTTTTCTCTCTGTTAATACATGTGTACTATTTGTAAGCAGTCCAGCTGCAATTGCTTTGGCAATACAAATGTATATTTTTTGTCATGCCAATAAAGCACTCTTAAATTGAAATTGAAATTGAGAGAGAGAGAGAGAGAGAGAGAGAGATTCTCACTCTTGAAAGAATTTGACAAATCACACTTTTCCTAAACAGGATTGTACATAAATAACAAACACAGCAGACACAAATACACACCTGGGAGATTTGATGCAGATATCGGCAAGTTTGTGCTTGTTTGTCCAATGCATCTGTGATTCCCAACCAGGGGTATGTTTACACCAGAGGGTACTTTAGCAGGTTTCACTGGGTACTTGGAAAGACTTTTTAAAAGAACCTACAAAACAAAAAAAAATTACAACCTAATTGTACCAAACAATTTGTTATTTCAACAGATTCCTAAATCACATTATTTTCAGGTTCTTTGAAAGAATACAAAATAATCTATGAAAAGTATAAAATAATGTGTAATGTATTCAAGTTTTACAAATTCATGTGGATGACATTCATAGTAGATTGCCCTGGTTTACACCCATCATTAATGTGTTTTCGGGACTCAGATCACAATCATCATACTAAATAATTAAGTTACACTGCAAATTGTAATATACATTTTTTAATGTTCTTTAAAAAATTATCTTATACTCACCAAGGCTGCGTTTATTTTACCAAAAATTCAGTAAAAACAAATGTAATATTGTGAAATATTATATTTAAAATAACAATTTTAATATATTTCAAAATGTAATTTAGTCTTGTGATGGCAAAGCTGATTTTTGACACTATGCTCTTACAATATGTTTGCATGCATTTTCTCTAAAGCGGCTTTGTAACAAGGTGTATTGTGAAATGCGCTATACAAATAAATTTGAATTGAAAAAAAAATTGAATGAATCAATTAATAATGTCCAATCATTTATCAAATTATATCACCAGATTACACTTCTAAACCTATTAACCCTATTAAATCCTATTAAATGTCCTTTACTGAGGGATTCATATTAAAAAAGAAAACACTGACAGAAAACACTGCTGTACAGTTTATTGTGGCTGCCTCCGTTTAACACATTTGACCATTCTGTATAATTTCACACATTTTCACCCAAAATCAGTGCAGAAAATGGCCTATGGGGGAACATAAATAAATAAAAAAAGACACTACATTAGAAGCCTCGTCTTCAGCGAAAATACAAAACTTTTAAAAAATCTGCTCTTGCTATGAACGGTGGGATTTAGTTATGATTACATGAAGCAAGGCAAACTTGATGAAACAAATGGAATTTTTGAGACCGTCAGCAGTCCTAGTCAGTCTTGAAGACGCAGTCCAGGCCCAGTAGTCAATCTTACGAGTGGTCTCCTGTCCAGCGTCAGCTGAGTGAATGCAGTGCTGTATCGTTTAAATGTCAGTGATAGACATCAAACCCAGTTCTTTCGCAGACTCCATCTGCATCATACAGATGTCTCAATCAAGCCAGCAGCTGCGTGGTGTCTTACTGTCAGAGAGGGCCAGGGCTACACTTATACACGCTTCTGTTTAGACACAGGAAGCATACCTGCCATACGCCACATGCTACCTGACCTGCCCGTCTGCTGCCTGTCATTCAGTGCTCGCACGGACCCTCAACACGCTAAAGTAAGCGTCCACACTCTCTCACACACACGCATACCTAGCAAACTCCTCTAACACTTGTAATGCCTTCTGTCTCTACAAAATGCTTCATTTAGAGAAAAAGCCAGAGGCAAAGACATTTTAGTGTTATCAATTAAACACATGTAGCATCAGAGACAAAATAATGGTTTGTTGTGACATATTGCAGATGGTGTGCTTATCACGAAACAGGTGATCACTTCTATGGTTTAACTTATGTTTAAACAAGAATCTTTTTGAAAGAAACGTTTTACCTTGAGTAAAAGTATTTGGTTTTAACAGAACTCAAGTAAAGTACAGATTCCCCAAAATAATACTTAAGAATAGTAGTAAAATACTATTACTCAAATACCTTACACCTCTGTAGTTTAAATTGAACTGACTGATTTTGAGAGATTACTGTTTTTGTTCTTTTCTTTATATTAACTTGGACTGTGTTGATTGTATTGCTTTGGCAATACAAATGTACAAATATTTATCATGCCGATAAAGCACCTAAACTGTGAAACTGTGAACTGTGAGAGAGAGACTCCTTGACCTTCTGATGACACCATTCTTCAGTCTCTCAGGGCACGGTTGGATACTGGCTCCGTGTACAAATACAGGGCCAAACACATGCTATTTCAGCCCAGAGGACAATACAAACACGCCGACGACATACAAATGACCTGCAATCATCTGACTGTGAGTGTACACTTGAACAACATCATACAATGCACTGCAATGCACTACAAGACTGAACATAATAACAACTTAATTCATTAACATGAACACACTCACAAGTAAAAAAAAAAAAACAGCAAAAAGTGACAGCATATCAGTGGGATGCGGTGGCATAGTCTCCTCTCTTTGTCCATGCAAGCCCTTATGGAGGCACTGCTTTCTGTCACGTGACCTTTTGCCAGTATTTTGACCATCAACCATCTCAAATGCACACCATGAAATTGGACCTCATTGAGAACATGATGACTTCAACGGAGACAAAAAGACTGTAAAAATGTATCCAATGGTTTCACTATTGGACAGTGTGATCTTATAAAACACACCATTTACACTTTGCTCTCATATATTGCACATTTCTGTGATGGATTTTCAGTAGCCATTGTACTAGCCATAATAGCCACTGTCTTCAGTGTCACATGATCATTCAGATATTATTCTAATAGGCTGATTTGGTGTTGAAGAAACCTTTCTTATTATTATCAATGTTATTTCTTACTATTATTAATTAATTATAAAATAACTGTACTGCTTAATATTTTTGTGGAAATTTGTCGAAATATTTTGTTTGATATATTACTGACCCACACTTTTGAGTACAGTGGTGTATGCATACAGTACACATTGCACACACAGTTTCATCACCACACTGTACAAACTGTACATACTGATAGGGACCTAGTTTAGTTCCATAAAGCTTGCCTTTTTTCAGGTTGATTAAAGATCCCATGTTGATATCATGCAGAGTCACCCTGAATAGCGGACATAAAGCCAAGCCAGCAGCTCATCAAACGCGCCACACGATTCCCACATTAAAGGTAATGTTTCTGCCACTCCATCTCGCATTGTTTTATTTTGCTCTCTGGCTTTAATGAAAGTGACAGAATTACGCCGCTTTAAAACCGTCTGCTTTATTGTTCTATTTGTTTATCTATTTCTTATTTCCTCGTCTTTTCCCAGCTCGCATCTGTCATTCTTCGGCGCTTTCATTTTATTGGCCGCGCCGTAGAGCGGTATTGTTGATCGCTGCCCATTTTTGGATTAGGAGATTAAGTTATTCATCACTCACCGAGCTCCCTGCTGCGCCACTGCTATCAGGACACCGCCAAATCACAACATCTCAGCCAGCCATTTCAAAACAATTGAATGCACAATAATTTCCCTATTAATACATTTCTCATATTAGAGATTATGCATGAAACATCCACATTATCTGTGGCAGTGTTTTCCTTCTCTCTTTTTTTCCTTGTGTGCCTGTGTTAATGTCTTGCTCCTCTCCAGTAAATCTAATAGACAGGATTGAATAGCTCACGCCAGGATGAAGGGATAGGTTACAGATAGCCTCCTATTTTTTATTTATTCATTTTTCCCCTCTCCCTCCCTCTCCTTCTCTGGTGGAATATGCAGAAGAAAATTAAAGAAAATCGATCATTTTCGAGCAGGGTGGCGGGGACGAGCTGTGACGGTTGCTACGCCAACAGTAACTCAGCCTCTCACAGCTGTCTCGTAGAACTTGTTTTGTCATTTTGCTAGATGAATTTATTTATTTTTCATCTTTTAAGCATTAATTATATATAATTCAAAATTTCACTGATTTTATTCTGAAGTAGGGGGAATTTGTTCAAGTGAAGGTGTGCTACGTCAGCGCAAGCTAGCTCTGAAATTAGTCATACATATTGTAGTTGCACACATTTTTGCATTCAACACACCAAAGACACACAGCAACAAAAGGCATATAAATGAATGTGTCATATATGCACGTATTAGCATGAGAACAGATCATTAAATCCATTGTAGGCAGCCAACCAAAACGCCTCGGCACACCAGCAGCCATTATGTCGTCATCATACTTCAGTGAATCGTGTTTTGCTTTGTACTAAAAATAATCCTCTCATCCACAGCGAGGACAGATATATAATTCAAAATTTCACTGATTTTATTCTGAAGTAGGGGGAATTTGTTCAAGTGAAGGTGTGCTACGTCAGCGCAAGCTAGCTCTGAAATTAGTCATACGTATTGTAGTTGCACACATTTTTGCATTCAACACACCAAAGACACACAGCAATAAAAGGCATATAAATGAATGTGTCATATATGCACGTATTAGCATGAAAACAGATCATTAAATCCATTGTAGGCAGCCAACCAAAACGCCTCGGCACACCAGCAGCCATTATGTCGTCATCATACTTCAGTGAATCGTGTTTTGCTTTGTACTAAAAATAATCCTCTCATCCACAGCGAGGACAGAGGTGGACTCACAACAGGGCTGGTCACAGTTAGAGATCCTCTTCAAACATCAAAGTGTGTTAATCACTTGTGTTAAATGTGCTCGAGCCTGTATAAGGGGTGGAAGTGAGGCTATACTGACATTGCAAGATCTATTATGGCAGGTAAATGTCTCTTAACGGCAGGAAGAGAA